TATCCTAGAATTTCAGCTTCCTAGCTTTTCCTGAGCTGAAAACCCGGATTAACACCCTCGGAACACACACATACACGAGATCTCGAAAATATACGTCTTGTGCAACTGTTACGGCACAAAACGCATGAAAATGTAGATGCGTTCAGTTCTACTGAACATTTCAAACTAGTTAAGTTGTGGGATGGTTGTTTCTTGTGGTTTACTTGTTTTGTCCTCACTCAATGCAACAGTTTTTTCGACAGAAAATTGCGCATCGTGATTTCCTCATTTATTTGCTTCATAACACATTTCAGTGCTTCCGTCCTGGTTCGAATTGTTTTTGGCTAGGTTTTGCACTTCTTTAATGAGCTTTCACATTATTGTTGCGTTTCTCCAGGCAACATTTTTCAAAACCCGGGCTTCCCGAGCTCCCGAGGGCTTTTGTCCGATTTTGCACTCTTTAAATCATTTTTTCTTCCCATTTCCATACGATCAGTTCTGACACCTTTCAGAAAGAAAGAAAGACGAGCGACCGTCGTTTGTCCCTTTCCGTCTGTATGTAGCGCATTCTTGAAATACGGAATTTACTTAGTGTAGGTGCTGATCAAATTTCTTCTCATTTTTATATGAAAAGCGAGTTTTTTTTTCAATCAGGAAATTGGTATTGTAGATACGGAAGTTGGTACATATGATGTGAGCCAGCTGGCACGCGAGCACATTCAGATTGTTGAGGCCGACAGTTTTTGGTGTGTTACGGCATTGTTGGATACAATTCAAGATAATTATACGTTTGCCCAGCCTGGCATTCAGCGCAAAGTTCATCAGCTGCAGCATTTGTTGAGTCGTGTTGATAGTATGTTGCTCGATAATGCTACTTTTTAAGCTGAGACTTTTTTGTGCGGTTCATGCTCCTCGCATTATCCATATAGATCAAACTCACAGCCAGCGAACTTATTTTCCTGGTGGGAAATGACATTGTCTGGGTCTTAACTGTCACTGACCTGCTTTTATGTCAGCTGATAGTCACACACCCTGTGCAGAAACACATGCTCCTCTAAGCTGCAGTGCTATACTTTGGCGCTCACACAGTCTTTTCAG